CCCCTTCTCACTTTTCTCCATTGGCAAGTTTTAGTCAGAGAAGGAACAAGTGAGATAAGCCCAGTGGGACCCCTCCCCGGCACCCTGCAGGTCCCAGCAGTGGGCGGAGGTGGGTGCCACTGCCTGGAAACTTTGGGAGTCTCTTCAGAAACTCCAGGAGGAGCTCCCTTGCCTGCCACCTCCCTACCTGGGCCTCCCCTGCTCGGTTTTGGGGGATCAGAGACCAGCCGGTGCCTCCTCTGCCTCCCTGGCACCACCTGGGCCAACAATGATCCTTTTAAGTCTCTGGCTCTGGCGTCCTGGGCAGGTTGCCAGGGGGTGATAACTGCCAGCCAGATAATCCCTTAGAAATTATGTCAAATGCCCACGCAGAGTGTCAGTTTCCTGCTTTCCGGGCAGTAGAGGGGAGGTGATGGGGGTCCCAGGACCCTGTGGCCAGGGAGCTCGGTCTGAGCAGAGCAGGGTCGGGGGGAGGGTGTGTGCTTACCTGTCTAGGAGGCGGGGTGGCCTCTGGGCAGGCGGCAGGAGCCAGGGCTTGGGTGCCCGCCTGGCATGGGGGTGGGGAGGGGCCCTGCGATTTGAGCTCTGTCCTCCCCACTTGGTTCCCCAACTTTTCCTCCCTCGTGGAGGCAGCAGTTCTGTCCCGAGGCAGGTGGAACCAGCAGGACGAGGTGCACAAGGCCAGTGAGAGACCAGCAGCTGGTTGGGTGTGTGGCTTTGTCGCAAGGTGCTCTCACGTGGGAGCAGCTGGCCTTAACCCCTGCTTGCCCAGAGGCCAGGGATGCCGAGTGATTGCCTTGCTCACGCTGCTGCCCGTGAGGCCCTGGCATCGGCGTGGGGACTGGAACCCACAGGCGGGTCCTCGGGAAAACACCTCCTGGCTCCCCTTCTCACGGCCCTCCTTGAATCTGGGACTGACGAGCCCTTCCAGCAAGCGCGCCATCCCACAGATTACCGCAGAGCTGGCTCCTTCCACCAGACAGATCTGAGCACAAATTCTGCTCCTTGGCTACCAACTCACCTGCTTGGATTCCTATGCTAGGAGTGTCCAGCCGTTTCCCTGCTGGGCAGCTTTGGGCATGCCACGAGTCTCTTCAGTTTCCTCAGCTGAAAAATGGCAAAAACACCAGCCCCAGCTTCCTAGGCCTGTTTCAGAAGTTGGATAAATGAATGGATGTCTGGAAACTGCTTATGGAACCATGCTGGGTACACAGTAGGTCCACACCCTCTAGCCACTACCCATCCACAGGTTGGAAAGACTAGGGTATGGGTAAGTGTAAGACACACGTCGGGTTGGGGCACCCGGGTGGCTCAGTTGGTTAAGCGTCTGCCTTCAGCTCAGGTCATGATCCTGGAGTCCCTGGATCAAGTCCCGCATCGGGCTCCCTGCTCGGCAGGGAGTCTGCTTCTCCCTCTGACCCTCCCCCCTCTCATGTACTCTCTCTCGCTCTCTCAAATAAATAAATAAATAAACTTAAAAAAAAGACACATGTCGGGTTTGGAAGGCTCGGCATGCAAAGAAGAACGTAAAATAACTGGTTATTTTTAATACTGATTCCATGTTGAAATGATCGTATTTGGATGTTTTGGGTTAGACAACACATATTGTCAAAATTAATCTTACCTGTTCATTTTTCACTCTTCAAAATGTGGTCACTAGGAAATTTAAAATGACATTTTAAGTTTTAAATTTAAATTGGCTTGCGTGATAGTTCTGATGGACAACGAGGGGCAGGTGCTTAATGCATACTAATGCGTTATCTGTGGAGCCCGCCTTTATGGACCACTTTCCTCATAGTTGTATCGCATCTGTGTTGTTTTCCAAGTATTTATTAGCACCTGAAACTGCCTTGTGTCTTGTGCCTGTTTATGTCTTTTCCAGAATGTCGCCTCACTGAGGTTAGGGATTTTTGTCTTGCTCATTCCTGTGTCCCCGCGGCCTGGAACAGTACCTGGTACACAGTAGGTTGCTCAATAAATATTTGTGGCATGAATGAGTAGATGAATGAATGAATGAATTATGGGGAGGGGGATGGAGGGATGCCTGAGTCCCTACCTGCAGCATCTGCCACTAATGGTAACAGCCATGGCGGGGGAGGGGTGCAGGAAACCAGGTAACCTGCCCCAGCGGGGGAGCCTCAGTTTCCCAGCCTGCAAAATGGGAACCCAGGGGCAGGAACCTGAGAGGATGAAGTAAGAGAATCAGAAGTTGCGACCGCACCTTGTGACCAGCCTGGATCCCTGCCCCTCCTTTCCTTTCCCTGCCCAAGCTTTCCTGCCTCCCACAACACCAGTTTGGGGTTGTTTTACCCAATAATGCGCGCACTCTAAAGGGTCAAGTTGTCATTTAGGTTGGCTAAAATCAGCAGTACCATTGCCACCCCACAAGTTCTCCCTTCCCAGAGGCACCCCCTCTTTAGCATCTTTTAACTGATTATTTTGACCTTCACTTCCGCATGTCTAAATAAGACCTGTTTTGCCACTTTTTGGTTTTTTCAGCCTTAGTATTGACTTCCCTCCAGGAGACATTCAGAATCAACCTGAAAGTTGATTTTCCTTTTTTTTGATTTGGCTCCTTTTCATGATCCTTATGATTGGCCCAGCCCCCAGTCCTTCTCCAGTTGGAGTCAATAGTTGTCAAATTCAAGCATCTGAACCGCCTGGAGTAGGGTGCCCGGGGTTGGGGGGTTTTCCTTGAAATTACAGATTATAGGTCCCACCCGTGGACTGTTTGATACAGGAAGTCTGAGGCTGCCTGAGAATCTGCATTTCTAACAAGCTGCTAGGTGAAGCTGCTGCTGAAGCAAGGACCACACTTTGAGAACCGTCTCTCTAATTTTTCAAAATAGATTTAAAATGAGGGGTGCCCAGCTGGCTCAGTCAGTGGAGCGTGTGACTCTTGATCTCGGGATTGTGAGTTTGAGCCCCATGTTGGGTGTAGCGATTACTTAAAAAAATAAAATCTTAAAAAAAAAAAAACCAGATTCAAGATGATTCAGGAGATCTATCCATGGCATGTGTCCAAAGGGCTCTTCCTGGAGGCTTTTTGTTATTGTTGTTTTAAACGGTGGTAAAATGCACACAACATAAAATTTACCACTCTCACCACCTCTAAGTGCACAGCTCAGCGGCATGAAGCACACTCACACCGTCCTGCGACCACTCCCCCCCTCCATCTCCAGAACTTTCCATCTCCCCACATGGAGACTCTGTCCCCACGAAGCACGGACTCCCCACCCCCGCCCCAGCCCCGGCTCCCACCCTCTCCTCTCTATCTGTGTGGACGGGACTCCTCTGGGGACCTCCTGGGAGTGGGGTCCTGCGGGATGTGTCCTTCTGGGTCTGGCTCTTCTCCCTGAGCCCAGTGTCCTCGGGGTCCCTCCGAGTCGTGGCAGGTGTCAGGGTCCCTTCCTTTCTGAGGCAGAATAACATTGCAGTGTGTGAATGGACCACACTGTGTTTATCCTTCATCCTTTGATTCCCTTAAGTCTTTGGGCTGCAGTCTGGGTTGGTTCTCTTCTGATAGAAGCTGGGGATTCCTTTTGCCACATCCTGAGTCCTGTTCTCCATCCTTCCCTTTCTTGATTTGTCTCCTTGTTTTGACGGAAAACATTTCAGAAACATCTTTCTAACCTCTGGGTGTGGCTGTGACCTGCTCCATCTTCCTGATTCCCCATCATTCCATTACCAAGCACCCCAGAGCCCAGTCTCCCACCTACTTTGCCAGCACCCCAGACAGTGATGAGGGACCATGTCTCCGAGTCAGACAGGCCTGGGTGAAAATATCCTAGGTCTGTCCCTCACCACATGGGTACCCAGACTCCTCCACTCACCCCCCAGCAGAAATCGTTAGTCATGAACAAAACACATATAATACCAGCATTTATTACCCCCGAATCATGATCTCAGAATTAGTAAACACCTAGCCATATCATTAATAAATTCACCATTAAACTTTAATGACAATATGAACACAGTAATTCTTAACACTGTACGTAAATATTCGCAGCATGATTCTTTGTGATTTCCAGTAAGTGACTTCAACGTTCTGAGATACTGTTTTCTTTGTGTGTAAAACGGAAATGATAATAGTCCCCATCTGGTTGATCAATACTGTCAAATATTTATTTTCTTCTAGGTGTTATGTTTTATATTAGGTACTGGGAAAGTATTAGTAGTAAAAAAAAAAAAAAGGCAAACAAGAAATAGGTCCCTGACTTATGGAGAGATTGCTGGGAGGCTTTTGCATCTAGCCTGACATTTTAATTACATTGTTACTTATAACTTACTTTCCATTGTATTATACATAGTGTTTTATATTATATATGACACTCATAATTATATACCAACATTATCTATTATAACATCATACTTTTTCTAGCAATGATATTAGTATGCCTATATCGTAATAACACATATTTTATATCCTGTGCCTATTAGTACAAATCAAATTTTTTTAAAGATTTTATTTATTTATTTGAGAGAGCAAGAATGAGAGAGAGAGAGAGCACATGAGAGGGGGGAGGGTCAGAGGGAGAAGCAGACTCCCCGCCGAGCAGGGAGCCCGATGCGGGACTCGATCCAGGGACTCCAGGATCATGACCTGAGCCGAAGGCAGCCGCTTAACCAACTGAGCCACCCAGGCACCCGGTGCAAATCAAATTTATTTTGACTTATTCCATCACTTATTACGTCATTATAACGACTACTTATGACAAAGCACATACCATAAGTAAGTGTCATCTGCAACATGATGTTAAGTAGCTGATTAACTGTAGACAGCGCTTGGGTTTACCACGTGTGACGGTATTCTAGCAAGAGGATTAGACGACGCGCATGGAGCCGCCCTTCCACCCCCTGGGCGCGAGGGGGCGCTCGAGACGCGGGGACGCACGCAGGCCCGCCCCCGAGCCCCGGCCGGCGGCGCGCCGCGCGGTGCGCCGGCGCACGCTGGCCCCGCCTCCGGGCCCGCCCCCCGCTCCCCGGGCCCGGCCCCCTCCCTGCGCCCTCCAGCCGGCGGCGGTTGTTGTTCGGCGGCGGCGGCCGCAGCTCGGGTGCAGCCTCCGGCCGCCCGCCCGCCCGCCCGCCGGTCCGCGCGCGCGGCCATGGAGCTGGAGGTGCCGGAGGAGGCGGGGAGCGCCGAGGCGGGGGCCGTGACCTCGGAGGCGGCCTGGGCCGCGGAGAGCGGGGCGGCGGCAGGTAACGGTGCCGGACCTCCCTCCCTCCCCGCTCCCCGAGTGGGCCCGCCCGGCCTCCCCCGGCCGCGGCCCAGTGGAGCCGCCCGAGCGCCGGAGGGGCGCCGGGACCCGCCGCGGGGAGGCCGGAACGTTCCACTCGGGGGCGCTCGCGGGGGGGGATGGGACACAGCGGGCGGGGGGCTCGCGGGGGCGCCGCCCTGCCCGGGGGCTCCGGGGGCGCGTGCGGGGCCCGGGTCTGGGAGGCCGTGGGGCGAGCACCCCCTTCGGAGGCGTGCGAGGAACGCGGATCCTCACCTCGGGGCGGGGCGGGGCGGGGGGCTGAGGCCACGCGGTGGGTGGGCGCGCTGCCTCCGGCTGAGGGCGCCTGGGGACGGCATCCCACCCAGTCTTGTTGGGGGTGGGGAGCTGCTCTGCGAGTGTGGGACGGTGCAGCACCCCGTTCTGGTGAGCGGCCATGCTTCTGAGATAGGCATGGCCGGGGAGGTGACACTGTCCCAGATGTGCCTCCGCCTTCCTGCGCCGGCCGCCTTGCTGGGGTCAGCTTCTTGGGATTCCCCCCTGTGGGCCCATCTGGGTGGAGAAGGGCAGGAGTTGCGGGGGGCGGGGGGTCTTTGAGGCATCTGGGCCAGCCTCCTGACTATCCCATCTCTCTTCGTGGGGGTCACCAGCCCCGGCTTCTAGTGCACTGGCCATTCATTGCCGTTCTGGGCCTCAGTTTACCTCCTTGTGACAGGAGGGGATTGAGGACATGACATCTCGCCATGCTTTCAGGGCCAGGGCTCTCTCTGCAGGCAGGTGGGGGGAAAAGAGTCACCCCCCTCCCAGCCTTGTCCCTGGACACTGGAGGGCGACTGTTGGTGTGTAGGGCACTGTTTCCTCCCTCGCCCTCCGGAACAGCAGGTGTGAGGAGCGACGTGGCCTTCTCCTCCAAGCTTCCTTCTGGGTCACATTCTCAAGCTTCCAAACAGAAGTTTCCGGATCCGCAGGATCCTCTGCTCTCACCAGGCAGCCCTCGCTAGCAGAGGCCCTGCAGACACCCACACGGACATCCGTCCTCCTTCTCCGCCAGGCCTCCTGAAGCTTCCTTGGCAGGCGGGATATGCTGTGTGGCTGAGGGGGGGCGGGGGGTGGGCGAAATGTCTGGAGAGAGAGCACTGGGGCCAGCGAGAGTCCCCCCCACCCCCTGCCCCGGGCTCTGAAAGGCTCCCGCCGCTTCTGTCCCTACTGCCATCTGGAAGCGCTCGGTAGATTACCTGCTTCCTTTGACCATCCGGTTGCCTCGCCCTTGTTCTTGGCTGGGGATTGGTGCCCTGGCCTGGCTAGCCCTAGACGTGGTTCCGGGACCCAGCCACCCTCCTTTATCAGACCCCTGACCTCCACCATCAGCCCTCCAACTGGGGCTGGTCAGAGACAAAACAGCCCAAGACTCAGTGACCACAAGAAAGCCGCATAGCAAACATTTATTTTATTAGGGGCTCAGTGAGCCAGATGAGGGCAGATAAGGTCCCAGGCCCAGCAGCAGCTGGGTCTAAGCATGGGGACCTGGAAGATAAGGGGCCAGCCCCGACTGCCTGTCACCAAAATCCGCAGAAGTCTGACTCCCCTGGGAAATCGTTTAGCTCACTCACTCTAAAATTAAGAGCGGCTGCTCCCTTTCCAAACTCCTTTCTCCTGATGTAAATCCTAAGTTTGGGTGAAAACCGTCCAGGCTTGTCCTACTGCTCATAGAAATGTAGAAATTCATAAACACGTCTGCTTATTTTTTGCCAAGATGGTTCCGTGCCCCACCAGGGGCTCTCTGCCTCGGCGCTATTGACGTTTTGAGCTGGAAAATTCTGTTCTGGAGGTAGCTTCCTGGGCACTGGAGGGGGCTGAGCAGCATCCCTGGCCCCGGCCGTTCAATGCCAGGAGCACCACCCCTGAGTTGTGATGACCATCAATGTCCCCAGACATCTCCAGGGTTTCCTGGAGACACAGTCACCCTAGATGAGAACCTTTGGTCTCACTCTGTTATTCCATAATTTGGGTTGCTTTTTATCTGCAATAATCTGAACTTCCCAGCCCCTTGTTGGTATCAATTACTTTCTTCAGAGAGAGAGAGTACGGGGCCATGGTTAAGAGGGGGCAAAGCCCAGTTATACTGCCTGGGTTCCACTCAGTTGCTGTGTGACTTTGAAGGGCAAATGCCTTGACTTTTCTGAGCCTCTGTAGCCCCATCTGTAAAATGGGTGATGTGTATACCTGCTTGGGGCTGGCTACGATGAGCCTCACCTGAGTTAGTGACTGTCAGCATGTTGAGAGTGCTTGAGGAAAGACAGCCCGTTTTAGGCACCAGCCATTACTAGTTCAACCAGCCTCCTGCTGAGGACCATTCTGGCTGCTTCTGGAATCCACCTTTTGCTGTTACCAGCAATGCTGTGGTAAACATCCTTGAACATGGCCCCTAACTGTGGCGCTTTAACTTCTAGCAGTTGAAGTCCCTGCTTTGGAATGTCTGGGCCGTGGTGAGCTGCTTGAAAATTGTTATCTGATGCCTCCTGGCTTTCCAGAAAGGTCTGGCAGGGGCTGAGAGAGACCCTCGCCACAGTGTTGCCAGCTCTGAATGTTACCAGCCTCCTTAGTTTTGGCTAGTGTGATGGAGGTGAAATGATGTCTTGGTGTTTAGAATCTGGTTACTTTAAATGCCCTGATCTTTGCTCCCGAGGCCTGGTCCAGAAAGGGCCGGATGGAGTTCTCCGCTGGCTTTTGGGGGCTTGGATGCATTCATGGGGTCAACTGTTGGGACCTGTGACCTGCCTGTGGGCTTTTGGCCTGAGCTGTGGTCTGGTTTTCTGAGCCATTTCCCTCCTGTCCTTCCGACTTGCATGATATCACAGAACAGTTGGCTTCATTCCCAGCCCCCTCCAGCCCCCTCCCACATCTAATCTGGTGGCAGATTATGCTGGTTTTGTCTTCAGAATGGACCCAGAGTCTGCCTACTTCTTCCCGTATTCTCTGCCCCACCTGGTCTAGCCCCATCATCCATCGCTGGCCTGGTACCCCGTCTCTTCCTTGCTCCCTACAGCTCATTCCAGAAGGCTCCCATTAAAAACTGACTTAGGTCCCACCCTTCTCTGCCCATAGCCCTCCAGGGCACCCACCTCCCTGGACGACCTGCTCTCCCCTCCTCCCTCTTTCCCCCTCGCCCACTCTGCTCTGGCCACACAGGCTCCTTTGCTGTTTCTCCCACCCACCAGGCGTGGTCCTGCCCCAGGGCCTTTGCACATGTGCTCTCTGTCTAGAACATTCATCCTTCATATCTGTGTTGTTTGCTTCCTTAGCTCTTTCAAGTTTTTGCTCAAATATCTCCTTCCCAGTGAGGCCTCCCCCAACGTTGCAGGAGGCCTGAAGAATGGAAAGGAAGATGGCGCAGCCCAGGCAAAGACCTGGTGCACTTGAAAAACAGCAGGGGCCCACGGGGCTGGGGTGGGACATTGTCTTCGGAGGCCTCCTTGGTAGTTGTGGGCTAGTGGTCCCTCCCCCCCTTGTTGCCTGTCAGCTGTGTCCCTTGGAGGCAGAAAGCTCCCAGTTGGAATTCTGCCCTGGATGCTTCTTGGCAGTGTGACACTTTTACCTCTGACGGTTCAGTCCCCTCCATGGAGAGGCCTTGGGAGCTAGACTGCTCGGTTCACATCCCAGGTGCATCCTTGGCCAGCTAGGGGGACACGCCGCCTCAGTGTCTCCATCTGTGAGATGGGTCTGATGCGTGTACCTGTCTCATGGGGCTCCATCAAGTGGACGGACTTGCAAGCCCTGAGAAGCGCCCCTGGCAGGTAGCCAGCTCCATGTGGGTGCTGGGAGTTTCCCTCCTCAGAGGGACAGGTGAGTTCCAGGGGGCCACATGTGGTCTGCTGTTTCTGTGCAGAACCTGGAACAGTTACGGGTCTACTATCAGACTCCGGGTACACAAGGACACGCGGGTGCTTCTTACTTTGTCCTCGAACAGTGCTCATTAAACCTTGATCACGCACCTGCCGTGGACCAGTGGGGGTTCTAGGTGCAGTGACCTGGGCCACTCCCTCGCGGCTTTCATGGCGAACAAGTAAACAGATAGGATCAGGGGTCGGCAGCCTGGACCTCTGGGGCCAAGGCCCATCCGTCCCCAGTTTCTGTCAATGAAGTTTTATTCCCACACCGCCACACCCACCCACTCACATGTTGTCTGTGACGACTTTTGCTTGTAGACCTTATGGTCTGCAGAGTCAGAAATACTCACGGTCTTGTGCTTTATGGAAAATGTTTGCCATCCCCTGAGGAGAGCGTGCTGGTCAGTGGTGAGCACGTAGTGGGGAAAGGAACAGTCGTGGTGATGCCAGCGCAGGGCTGGCTGCAGCTGGGGTGGTCAGGGAGGAATGCAGCCGCGGGTCGAGTGTGCCAGGCAGAGGGATTAGCCTGTGCAAAGGCCCTGAGGTAGGAACAAGCTTGATTCATTTGATCCAAGGAAACAAAGTCCGTGTTTTGGGGGACCCTGAAACAGGCAGGGCCAGTCATGTGGGGCTGTGGCGGGGGGGCCCTGGCGCAGTACTCTGGCCGGTTGGTAGGGAAGGAGCTTCCCACGGCAGGTGGCAGGTGAGCTGTGCTGAGCCAGGCTGGGGGCCTGAATGGAGGCTGTGGGGGTTGAGGAGGGTGAGGGAGCCGCGGAACCCAGGAGGGATCGGCCTGTGCCCTGGAGCTGGTGGGGGGGCGGTGGGGAGGGCCCGGGAAGGAGCAAGTTCCAGCAGGCTCATGCTGATGTAGGAGGGGCAGCCTGGGTCTTGACCTTGGTCTTGACCCGGGGCTGACCCTGCCTTGCCACAGACACTGTGCCTCTGAGCAGGTGAAGTTCCTGCTCCCCATCTCGGCCCCTCTCAAGGTGAGGGCAGCGGGGTCCCAAGGATTCAGGGGACAGGAGCAGGGCGAGGCCTGCGGCCGCAGGGTAATGCTCACTGAATGACGGCCCTGTGACGTTGGCTCCGGGGATCT